GCCAATTTCGGCGGTGATCCCGCACGGATCGCCCTATGGGGTCAATCCGCCGGAGCAGCCAGCGTAACAGCCTACTCATACGGATATCCAGAAGACCCCATTGTCGCCGCTCTCATAGCCGACTCCGGTGCTCCAAATATAGTTGACAACGAAGACTACGCACACACCAACTTCACCTTCCTGGCCAGTCTAGTAGGCTGCAACGGGCTCTCATCCACTGAAGAACTCAGCTGCATGCGAAACGTGTCCGCTCGGAAACTGCAAACCGCTCTCTCGACATACTCCGGCTCGCCATCCATCTCGTTCACACCAGCCGTCGACAACAAGACCTTTTTTGCAAACTGGACCGAGCGTGCTATTGCAGGAAAGGTCGCAAAGATTGTAAGCAACTCCATACCTTTAGCAATAATCACCAGCTAATCTATCATTCTTTCCCTTGATTAGCCCCTGATAACAGGAAGCAACACCAACGAAGGCGCCGGCTTTGTATCATTCACCCCAGCGGGACCCAGCAAATCCACACTCTTCGAAATAACCGAATCAATCATAGCCTGTCCTGTCGCAGAGGAAGTCAAGAACCGCAATCTAGCAAACCTCACCACCTACCGGTACCAATACGCAGGCAATTTCACCAACATCTCACCGCTGCCTTGGTTTGGGGCGTATCATAGCGCCGAGCTCCCTATACTCTTCGGTACGCATTATGAGTATGGTGGTTCTTCTACGCAGTATGAGTGGGACGTGAGTTACGCTATGCAAGCACTGTGGCTTTCATTTGTGGAGGATCCGTCGCGGGGCCCGGTGCGGTTTGCTGTTGGGAATGCGCCGGCGAATCCGAATAATGGTACTTACTTTGCCTGGCCTGCTTTTGAGCAGGGGTCGGACGATCTGTTGGTTTTTGCGGAGGGGGGCAAGGTGATGCAGTTGGTTGGGGCGGGGAGGATTGATGATTATTGCTGAGCTGCCAATATATATACCAGTTGATTATATCAAAGCAATCACGGAAAAGGGGGTTTGTAGATAATGGGTATATAATGCAATATAACTGATGAAACGATCGACAATAATGCTTCCATAAGGGGATATCTGGGTGCGTAGAATAGTACGGCTATGCGCACGAATGCTCTATGGGAATGCTCTACTCCACCTCTAGATGCTGGGACCTGGGAGTCGCCTCTCTAGTCCTGCGAGCAGGAACAGGGGAGTAATCACCCGTGTATCTGGGGCTTCTTTTCACGCTGCGAGGAGCGGATCTAGGAGCATCAGGATCCGCCGCAAGACGGTACTCTTCTTCAACAACATGATCCTCGACATCCGGATATAACTCCTCATCGTACACATCCTCATCCTTTCGAGGTAACGGTCCGGGCCGAGCCCTGGAACGAGGCTCCATACGCGAACTAGGTCCGCCTTCATATCTGCGCCCGGTAGAGGGACTTGGGGCATGCATATCGTCATCTATAAAGTCGTCTTCTGCATAATGCTGAGACTCGACCATGACTGCGCGTTTCCGACCAGCGGAGTATCGTCCAGCTGCGACTCGGCCGCCCGAGGTGCCGGCGTACTGAGATTGTCGCTGAGGGGTGCGGGCTGGCACACCACGTCGAGGGTTTCGTTCAACCGGGACGTGATCGGACTCGTAACCGCTGAAGCCATCATAGACGGCAGGTTCTCGTGTAGGCCCGGACTCGTAGCCATCGTATCGGACTCCTTCCATGTGGGCCAATTTACGATCGTCGGCACGTCGGGCTTTGACTAGGTAGCGGTCGAATTCTTCGATTGTGTCGTTCACTGTGCGGAAGTGCTCTGCTGTAAGAACTACCGGGAGGTCATTACCCGGGGTCTTTTCTCGCTGGTCGAAGAAGGCGAGGCAGGATGCTATTTGTACAGCGTTGCGAATTTGGCGACCATTCCATGGACCGCGTCTGTGAACTCTGTAGGTTTTCTCATACTCCGATCGGACAAATTCAATGATCTCTTTGTCCATGACATGGATATGTCCGTTGCCGATAGTTGTTCCCTTGGGTACCTTGTCTGCTCGAGGGAGCCGGGCCAGGTTACTGCAGAGAATGGAAATGGTATCTTCACTGCTTAGATGAGGATAGTAGAGGCTTAGATGTACCCGTGAGCGGAAGGCTTCGTCGAGCGCCCCGACTCGGTTTGTGGTCAGGAAGAGGATGCCGCTGTAGTATTCTAATACTCTGAGGAATACTATATGAAGTCAGTAAGGTCTAACTAATGGTAAGTATATGGGCGTACCTGAAACCAAGGCGTTCCGCTCAACATCAGTTCGATCTCTTTGTGTGAGAAAGACATCTGCTTCATCCAGTAGCAGAATGCAGTCCCATAGATGGGCATATCGAAAGATGTCTTTGAGTGATCTCTCCACAGCGTCCGCTGTTATTCCTAGGTCACCGCAGGTGATGGGAAACAGAGGTTTCTCGAACTCCAATGCCACGGCCTCTGCGGTCGCAGTTTTACCCACCCCAGGCGCTCCGTGCAGGAGGATCACCAGGCCTCGTCCCTTTCCCCGGATCATGTCCGGCGTATACAATATGGCATCACGAGAGCGTTCATGGTGGATCTTTGTAAAGTGAGAAGAAACAGTCGATCGGATGATCCTCCGATGTCCAGGCTTTATCTGGACATGGTCTAGGGTAATCCTCTCTTCAGATACCCGACGCAAGTCAAAGCCGCGAACATCCAAGCGCGTGAACCTCCTCTCGCGTAAGACGTATCCAAGGACTCTCCGTGGAAGAAGGGCCAGATCTTCATCGGACCATGTTGGTTTTGAGAATGTGTCATTGTTATCAATGTATGGGTTCTGCTTCATGTAGGCTTGCGCTTCCTTTGCATATGTAAAATCTTCTCGGACAAGCAAGTTTTCGTTTTTTTCGATGAAATGGGGCGAAGCTTTTCTCCATAGCCGATATGAGACATTTTCATCCACAACCGTAGCCCATGAATCATGGAACGTTTCCTCATAACGCTTAGTATCGGTGGGATATGTCTCAGTAACGTATCGCGAGGCTTCCTTCACATCTATAATGACCTCACTTTCTATGTGTTCGGGTTCAGCGAGCTCCATGCTCTCCTTGAAGATACCTGTTGAGAGGTTCCAGCCAGAATAGTACTGATGTTTGTTCTCTGGCTTCACGAGCTCCTTGAAAAGCTTTCCACTCTCAACCTGCATCTTGAGAATCGTCGCATGATCGGGATGGTAACGCAGAGGGTAACATGGCAAGGCAGTAATGTCTTGCTCGCCGGCGAAATGGGGGACCTCTAGAGACTGCCATATAACTTTCAACTGCTCTCCATCATGGTCAAAGCAATAGATACTCCACCTCGCTAGCGAATTCGGGACAAACCAGCCACCTGGGTCCGTTTGCCACATGTGGTCTTCGGGCCGCAGTGAGGCCAGGCGAAAGACGTTCTGGATAGCAGACTGATGACGTGCTTTTGAACTGGTGGCCACAGATGGAACAAAGACAAGATCGCCCGGGCGGAAAAGAAAAGGCAGCTCATCATATCTGACTTTGTTCGGAGTATTCTTGGTGACATGTTCAAATCTCTTCCAAAGAGGTAGAATCTTCTCTTCCACAAAGGTGACATAGCATCGCAATTCGTCCCGAATAGCAGATTCTGAAGTTTTTCGCGAATCATCCAATTGATTTTCTTCTGAGGGCTTAGGTCTTGCGTATGAGTCTTCCAAGTCAGACTCTAATTGCTCCAGCTGCTTTTTTATTTCACCATTAAAATAAGCGAGAGCGTGAAACGGACGGCAGAATACGCAATCGGATTTTGGGGGAACCATGCTGCTTTCGTTCCACTCTCCGAGTTCAGAAAGCCGACGAAGTATCTCTGGAGAGCGGATCCTCACACGTTGGAGTTGCAAGGTTTCAGCAACTCCTTCCGTCGGCGGTGCCACCTCAATAGTCTCAGTCCACGGTGGTGGATTCGCAGCGCGCCTTTTCTTTTCCCGTTCCAGGTCCTTCCACCAGTCGGAAGTACTGATCAGGGCTTCTATCGTATAATCTGCATCGTCGTCCACTGACCGGTTCATGAAGGATGGGTAATCATAGTATCTCACGCCCACGTTGATTTTTCGCTCGTTGAAAGCAGATCCATTGAGCCAGGTATCATCATCAGCTTTGCTCTCATCGTCTGTCGTGTCGCTGTCACTGTCGTCTTCCTCATTGTCCTCCTCGTTGGTATCGTCATCTTCATCATCATCGTCGTCATCATCCGTCTCCTCACGGTGAGTGCTTCGCTCTTCAATATCTTCTTGAATAGTCTGAGTACTGGCCTCCTGCTTTGCAGTCACAACCTCAGGTATTTCCGCCTCTTCAAACCCATCTATGGCGTCCTCCCCTGTCGCCGGCACACGCTCCTCCGGCGCTGACTGATTTACGACCTCCATCGCACGCAGATGTGCCCTGAGCCTGGTGACCTCCTCTAGCCGAGGAAGATTTCCGAAATGCTCTCACCCACTCCATCGCTCGCACTGATTTATAAGTTAGTTATCAGGCATCTTCAGTGCCTCGTATCGACGCCAAAGGGGCGGGGGAAGCCGCTGCCACAGCGCGGCTGCAGAAATGGAAGACAGTGATAGGAGGGATGAAGTGGATTTGCGAGCTCAATGCGACCAGTCACCAGACGCGGGATCTATACTAGTGCTCACGAAGGATTCGTCAGGGGCCAAGCCGTCATAGCACCTCCTTCACGAACGCATTAACCACATGGTTTAATTGCGCTGATTGTTAAGCGCTCACACCTGTCATGCATCGATTGGGTGAGCATAGAAAATGCGGCCACTAGGGCTTATGAAACTCGTATCTAAAAGCAAACATAGTCAGAAGGCTTGATAGTAGCATGACTCGGGCAGAGGGCTAGAGCACGGAGGACAGACTCACATACGCCCCATCCCATTTCTACATATTATTCATCAGGGATCCGCAGGGTTATGGAGGTCTTCATCTGGATGCATAACATCACCCGATATGACACACTTCTTCCATGGTCGCCGAAAACCAAAGTCGCTCCCAGCGGACAAGACGGGGACGGCAAAGAGTCGGGCGTGGATTGAGGAGCGGGGGCGTGACTTCCACCCCGCCTTTGCGGTGGAGAGCGAATTCGATGAGCAACAAGAGAAGTACATTCCCGCCGAGCTGGCGACAATTAGGTGCGACCATCCATAATGATACATGTGCATGCAGATGCTCAACGTATGCATGGTCTAATGCATCACCAGAGATCTTGAAACACTTTTAAAGCATCATGATGCCATCGCGCCTCCGGAGGAGCCAAGATTCTATGACTACACATGGCAGATGGTTCTGAGGACACTAGATGAAGCAAAGGATGTGGCATCATCTCGTAGAGACTATACATCTACTGCTGTCCAGGGCCTTGGCATGTTAGCTCCCTTGAAAGATGCCATACCTGACGAATACGGACTGAGTGTTGTGAAGGGGGTATTGGGACTAGTATTTGAGGTAACATATTGTTGTATCTCGGTAGATGGGCCACAGACTGCGTTCGCTGACATTATTTTCTTAGACTGCGAAACGAGGAGTAGAAAACCGCGCCAAAATCTTGGAGGCCTTCGAGACGGTGCCCGAGACTGTTCTGACAATCCAGACGGCCTATAACTACTTGAACCCCACAGCGGATGACGAGGAATTGTGTAGGGAGTTCTGTAGAACCCTTGTTAGGACATTGCCAGGATTGCTTGATGTTTTGCTAAAGAGGCAGCCATGTGGGTTCACATATTGTCCCTTCGACATGGTCTTTAGCTCACGGACTTGATGACAGGGTACCGAAAGGTCACAGAGTCCCTCACTCTGAGAATCCGAGAGACTCTCACGGTCGACCAGGTACTTTCAGACTGGAACCGTTATCTCGTAACCATCAAAGAGCGATTAGAACGCATGAAAGTCAAGATCACTGCTGCTACGGCCTACCACAGCAGCGAATCGCACCGATTGGGCTTGGAAGCAAATACCAACATCCAGACTCTTCACACTGAGCTTCAAGGAGCCCGCAGCGATATTAAAGACCTGGTCACTGAAGTGAAGAAGCAGGTTGGAGCTGAGTATCGAGAGGTCTTTGCCTTTCAAAAAGAGCAATCCGGCGCACAGGCTATGACAGAGCTACTATATGAGTTCAAGGCGCTATGTAAGGAGTCTCGGGAGCAGTACGAGGTCCAACAGTGTCAAATCTTTCTCTTGCAACGCGGTAAGGTCGCTCTACGCGTATCATACTTTGATGATACTAACTAGCTCTGACTAGCCTACTCGGACCTGGCACATGAGAACGAAGCTCTTCAATCAACCCTCTCACTTAGCAGCACAAATTCTCGAGACTCAACATCTACAACAGTCACCCCAATCGAACTACTCGGGATATTGGGCGTCTCACCACATACGGCAGCCCAAGACCTTGAGATCGTCCTCCAAGAAGGCAGTAGATTTAAATCCTCATACCTCGGACGTGTGCGATGGCTCGCCAGAACCGATGAGTTTACTGAATGGCTTCGGGCCCCACAATCATCACTCCTTCTAGTAGACGGCCGTCTGGATACCAATCCAGCGATAATGGTCACTCCAATGTCAATATTCGTTTCAACATTCATATACAGCCTAATCAGCAGCCCCGACTGTCTACCTCTATTCTTCTTCGCATCACTACACGACGACCAAGAAGATCCCGAACTCAGCGGCCCGACAGGGATGATGCGAAGTCTCATCACCCAGCTTCTCTTCAGCGACAAGCTCGCCACACCAAGCCTTCAATTTCTGGGTAGAGGGTTTCTCAACGCCTGCGAGAGCAACAACATCAAAGCGCTCTGTGAGTTATTCAGACGGCTCGTTCTGCAGGTTCCACCAAATATACAAGTCATCTGCATCCTGGATGGGACAGCTGCATATGAGAAAGAGCCAATAACAGGGGAAGAGATCGACTATGTAGCGGCCCTGTTTCAGCGACTCGTCGAGGATTCGGTGGACGCAGATTCTGTGCGGCTGAAGGTGCTTTTTACATTCGCAAATCAAAGTCTGCAGATCTCGGATAGGGTGGATATGCATCCTGATGTCTGGCGGTATGCTTCGCTGGCGGCTGGACATGTGGATTATCTGTCTCGGCTAGATTTTAGACAGGATTGGATGGAGTGAATCTTACTGGAAAGGTGTATGTCGTGTTGCAGTGGAAGCAGATACTTGTAGCGTTCTAAACTGTTTCTCCCCAAATGGATTCTGAGGTCTACCTTCATCTTCGGCTGTGATTTCCCCGCGAGTTACCAAGAAATTATCCCTGTAGATTGAACTGAATTCTTACGGCCCGAGCCTTAAAGTGGGCAATACCCATTCCTCACAGTCTGGGCATTCCTGTTCGTGGCATGTGGACTAAGCTTATATGGAACTGGCTTTGTGGCTTGAGGTGATGATGCTACGTCATGTGAAGAATATATGTGACAGGTTTTCCAGTGCTTGGGGACAGTGATCGTCGATAACTACAGACATCGTTGTGTGGACGTGACACTCGATGACGCAACTCTGGAGCTTGTCCTGGAACCCTTCTCTCAATGGTGGATTTGTGAAGAGGTCAATGTCAATCGTTGTCAGATCGGGGAATTAAGGTGATCGGAATGTCTGATCTGCGTGGAGCATGAGCGGAATGATGACAATTATACCTTGCTGGAGAGTATAGGTCGCAATATGATCTCATAAGGGAGTAGAGAAGATTGACCTGTTAGAAATTGGGAGACTTGGTTAGTCCTGGGAATACGTCAAATCAGAATCCCGACCAATAACTATGCTTTGTTCAAGCCCATTGGCGCCTGCGGGGATGACTTGCATTCCTCGGAGTCTCCAAAGCGGAGAATATGTGTGAATCAGAATGCAGATTCATCGCCGAGTGGCTGTCAGCTTACCGCGAGAGGAGGATTACTCTCATCCCTTCGGGAAGAGCTCTCAGCATTGCCTCGAATCCGCAAGGGTAGCACTGCGCGAACCCAGTACAAGTGAATCGGCATGTTGGTGGTGGTACATAGATTGCGCGAGGTAAGCTGACTTCATCTCGTGTAGGAACAGGTGTTGTAGAACAAAGAGACCCTGGAGCCAGTCCCTGCAGGGAATTCGGGCCACGCGGTGTCCTCGAGTTGGCCGCTGTGTTCTCTTGCGATGCGATGTTTGCGTTCCCTCCCATGCGCATAGCTTAGTCATATATAGGGGGTTCAACAAATCGTCGGTCATCAGTTTGTTTCTTCCTGGATCCTTGCCAGTGTAGCCCCTTGAACGATGGCAACCCGGAGTATGAGGGAGAGAGAATCGGTCCCGAAGCCAATCGGGGGCCTCCGATTGGGAGTTCATTTGGATGCCGTTGGTCACGGGGGGCGCTAACAGCGGGTGTCGTGATGTTTGCTGGGAAATCCGACAACAATGAATGGCAGCACTGGTTCTATCCGTCCTAGTTGGATGGCTGCTGATGACCATGGTTACGAACAGTGTGATCTATCTTTCTGTGACGACTCATTTGTGCTTTGGGTCAGTACCACAGCTAGTTCACTGAATTTGAAGTGCGGGATCCACCCATTTTGGGCACTATTGTTCATGATGGCCTGTGCTGTCTCGGATGGTTTCTTGTTTCCCATTCACTGGGCAGCATCGGCAAGCTCCGGGGTAAGGCAGCAAAACGGACAGGTCAACTTTTACCTCCCCCTGGGGAATGCAGACCTGCAGGCTGCAGTCAGCGCGGCGCAAGTGAATGAATGAATGAGTGGAATGGGAGGGGAGCGAGTGGATGAATGGGGGAAGAGGGGAGATGATGTTGCCTGGATGGGGCCTGGCAGGGTCACCTGGACGCGGCCATTCTTTTGCCTCAACGACTATTAAGCCCTGCAGGTTGAAGATCTCCGGCGTGTCTTCGCTCCTGCCCTTGCAGCTGATCCCTCCTCCAGTTCCGCCCACCAACCAACGCCCTCTTCAAATACAACAGAATCTCCCCTGACTCGCTTCTTCGCTGGCCTGCCCTCTTCTTACCAGCCATTTATCGTGATCGATTACTTTACCTCCTGGAGGATCCCTTTTCCTCCCACCCCCCCCCCTGCGTTTGGCGGGCGACCCTGCCCCTCAATTCACCGCCAGACGCAACACTGACAGCATCTACCGGGCAGTGCTGTTGGTACTGACCTCAACATTCTCTCACATGCGAACCTTCTGCCTCGTTGTTCCTTTGATCATGTAGCTGAGTTGGGGCCTTACTTACTTTTGAGCTAGACTGCGACCTTGGCATCTCTCACCATGGAAAGTCTCCCCAAAGGCTTGCTGACCACGGCGACAAAGGTATCAACGGAGCTGGATGGCGTGGGTCCGGTGAATGTTGGGGATGTCGTGCAGCTTTGGAAAGGTGGGTTTGTTCTGCGCCTTCCCCTGTCGCGAATCCAATGTGTCTCATAGCGCAATAGTCTACAGTGCCAATCCATCAGCGCATGATGACGACGTGGGATACAGGCTGGAGAACTTCTTCTGGAGGATATGGGGGAGTCGTTGTCTGAACCATACCCTCCTGGGAACTACGTTGGCCAGTCTGTTCCTACGTATTTCCGAGCCCAACCCGTTTAGTTTGGTGCAGTTGAGCAAGGTGAGGGATATCGCGAGGCTCATGCGCGGCCTACGTTGGCAGCGATGGAAACATGGGCTAACTTTGACAGGCGACCAAAGCAGCTCAAGCAGCTCAGTCATCCAAGGGGAATCATGAAGGGGGCTTCGGGAGGCCGGCTGGTAACAACGGGAAGGCACCACTTCACCCTATACTCAAGAAGCCCAGAAACGGAAGTTCCAGCGGAGAAACACATAAGACGACTCGTCTGCTGCTAACAGACATCGACGGTCAGAGTACCACTCGCAAACCATCAAATCCTCCTACACCGGTTCCTCCATCAGTGCCTACAATGGCAGACACTACGCCCCGACAGACGCAAAAGAAAGCGGTTTTTGTGGCTAGCAAGGCAAAAAGTAGCAAGCGTCGGCCTGTGATCATGCGGCGCAAGTCCTCACAGCAGTCGTCTGGTACCAGTTCTACCCGTGCCCATAGTCCACCACCAGACTCACCGCAGCTGACTCTGGAATATACCCCAAACCCACCAATTCAGGAACTGGGCAGTGCGTCAAAGGCTACCGTTGGTGCATATGAACTGGATGAAACGGAGCCTTTGACAAGAAGCCATAGCGAATCTCGTGCAGACCTTGCCGTATCCCTGAGAGATACGAAGACCAAAATTCCCGGAAAGGGCCTTTTTGCAGCCGACATACTCGAGAAAGATCCAGCCCAGGATGAAAAATCACAAGTTGAAAGACCCCCAAAACTCCCAGATTTGTTTTTATCTGATTTAAGAGAGCTTCTCGACACGGATCGGCCAGAGGAGGCACATGTTAAGCCGCCACCTCCACGTCGCAGAGCATTTTATGCAGTCGAACCTTCCCTACCTGAACCCAACTTCTTTTCAGCTACTGGATGTCGCCGCTATGATGCACGATATCTGTCGGCGGAGAACTACGAGCAACCATCTAGCATGAAACTTGTCGACAAGAACTTCCGAAAGCGATTCTCAGATCGAGTACGCCAAGAACAAGTCCTTGTTTCTTCTTTAGGAACACCTGAGCCAGAGACCGAACCCAAGACGATACCACCCAAACCAGTACGGGCTGAATCCAGCAGCACCGTCACTAATGCCACACCATCACCATCCCGGTTTGGGGACTCACACGGAAGGGCGTCCACAGCTCCAAGCTCTGCCGTTCCTTTCCAGCGGCCTTCCAACCATGATGATTCGTTTGCAACTGACAGTCAGGGCAGTACGGACGAGGAAGTGTCCCCAGTGTTGACCAATTTTTCAATGCCACGCAGACAAAGCCAGCTTAGTGCGATGATCGAGCAGAGTCGACAGCAGGGGGGAGAAGAGGATCAGCAAGAGACGGATGAGGTCATTGAAGAGATTAGAGAGTAGTAGAATAAGAGAAAACGAGTACTGACATGACAGCTCGATCAGAAAGAAAGATGCAATATGCGATACAAGGCCATATTTTAAGATCTGAAGACATTACTCATGCGTCGACGCATGCACTCAGTGCTTAATACAAAATACAATAATTATCCATCAATCCCCCCACCAATCTCATAACCCATCTGTTCCTCTTCTCTCAAATCCCTCCCTTCTCATCCCCTTTGCCTTTACAACATCACCACCAACCCCCCGAACAAACCCCAATTCCAAAATCAAACTCACCTAAACCCCCTCCTTCTCCTCCACCCCATCAACCCCAAACACCCCCCTCTGCCCCCTCCACCACCTCATCCCCTTCCACAACGCCGTCGCCACCCACAGCACCAAATCCACCAAATCCACCCAAACGGCCCGCCTCATCCTCGTCACCTCACTACTATCCTCATAATCCCCAATATACAACTTCCCAAAGATACCAAACAGCGTCAACCAAAACACGCACAACACCGCCTCCCACACAAACAGCGGCAGATTCCACCTCTCCCGCATCGCCAACGGCGTCCGCGTCTTCAACACCCAATGCATCATAACCAGGTAGAACAGCGCCGTCCCGCACCCCATCATCCCCGTCACGATGGCGTACACCCAGCGTGCATCTGCCGACTCGGACTTTTCGTGTGCGTGGTGGATGTCGATCCCGTAGAGAATTATGGTGGTTAGACCGAAGACGGCTTGTAGGATGTGGAGGAAGAGCTCTGTGTAGTGCTTTAGACGGGGGCGCCGGGGGATGTTGGATGGTGGTGGGGGTGGGTAGTCGAGGTTGATTCCGCTGGGGTCCTGATTGTTGGATTTTTTGGATTTGGAGAAGATGCGTCGGATGAGGCGGAAGGCGAGGAGGTACATTTTGGTGGTTTTGTTTTGGGGTTGGGGTGTGGTGGTTGTTTAGTAGGAAGATGAGGATGTGTGTGTGTGTGTGTGTTGTATGTGTATGTTGTATGTATCGAGATGGGAGATTATTGCGCCAGCGCAAGATAATATCACGATCAGTCACGATAACTATATAACGAGTAGTGCGCAGCACGTAGTAGTGGTAGTAGAAAGGTGGTCAATCAAAGAGAGAAGAAAAATGGTAATAGTAGATAGTACTAGTAGTGATCGTTCACGTCGAAACAATAGACACTGTCTAAACAAAGAAGATTCTCAAAGAAAGAACTTATAGAGAGTGATGAATAAAGAATAAAGAATGCTTTCTGCTGCTATACAAACAATCCCATCCCTTCTGCACTCTCTTTATATAACCATCAACTCAATACCAAGACATTCAGAACATCTATTTTAATCATCATCAACATCTTCAGCAGAACTTAATTCATCATCCAATTACACACTCGCAAGCTTGGTTCGTGTCGCTGGGCTGAAACTGCCATGCCCGTCGGCGGTAAACTGTATACTTACTTTTAGAAACTGGGTAACTGATTGACAGCTGTGTATAGGGCGCGCGCCAGTTCATGCAATCATGGTTTCAGGGCTGCAGAGGGACGGCAAGTATGATGATCATTGGGGGGGGGTGGTGTGTATGGTTGGTGGGCGAAGCGCCGTGCTCTTCTTGGAGCTTCGGAGTTTGAAATGGGGTTGGTCGGGAGGGAGGTTTGGGGTTACGCTTGGCGGCTAGTGGAACGATCAATCTTCAACAGAGCAGAACATGGATTCCTTTCTTTCTTTCTTTCTTTCTCTCTCATCCCGTCTCTCATCGTGGGATCTGATCTACATTAGCGCTACGGACTAAAATAGTATCAGCAATTCGTTCCATCTCGTCCATCCATCCATCCATGTTCTCTCTGCATGCATAATACCGAGACCTCGAACACACCTAATTCTCATCTGTCCGTCCATCCGCCTCTCCTCCAATCATATTCTCCAATATGCATTGATGCTGCTCAACAATTCCAACCTGAACCTGAAATATTCATGTGTGACGCTGACGTGACATTCATCGACCGGAGCGGGGATTCATTCATGCAAGTAATGGGCAAAAAGAAAAGCAGAAGGCTAACACAATCATGCAACGGAGAAGAAATAAAAGAAAAAATTAATAGTTGTGGAAGAAAGTAAGCATGCATTAAATCGAAAACAGACAAAGAGAAAACCGAAAGGAAGAGTGTGCAACGGCCTATCACCGCTCGCTAGCTCGATAGCCGTTGCTCCATTGTCAGGGCGGTCTTGTCCCGCCGTCCGCTGCACTCTTAGCGCCCGACCCTGCTGCTGCGGCTGGCTTGGGCGGATGCCCTGGCGGTGGTGCAGTTTTGACGGTACCTGGAGGCGCTGGAGGTGGGGTTGGAATCCCCTCGTCCTCGTACTCGTTGCCTAAATACTCGTCATCATGCACCCCTGGTCCTCCGGTTGAAGAATGATCCACGGACGCTCGGTCGTATCCTTGGTCATAGGCTGCGTGCTGGGCCGCTGCGTGCTTGCTGGCATTCTTAGTCGCTTTCTTGCCCTTGCGGCCCTTCATCTTGGCCTTCTCGAGCAACCGCTTCTTCTCCGCCAATCGTTTCCGTTCCTTGCGATCCTTGATCTCGTACTGGCGAATGAGAGCCTCAGGCGGGTGGCCAAAGATGCTCTCGTACTCGCAGAACTCGCAGATCCAGATGTCCTCGATGCTGGGCGGGTGGTGAAGGTTGGCATACTGCTGCTGAATCTTGCGTTGACGCGCGGCCAGAGCATAGAGGCTACCCGGAGACCGCTTCTTCTTCCTCCCCGTGGCTGCAGGCTCAGTCCCAGCATTTTGTAGTTGCGACGGTTGCGAGTGCTGTGATTGTTGAGACGCCCCTGAAGAGTTGGCTTGTGAAGCGGCATTTGGGATCGTCTGGGTGCCTTGTGAATATCCCCGCTGGCTCTGGACAGCCGCAGTGAGAGCACTGGGTGACCGATGCTGCGCAGGGTACGGGTTCTGTGCCTGCAGGGCCATTCCCTTCGACGAGTCCGACTCGCATGTGAAGGTGAACTGAGTCTTGGTCGGCGTAGGCGTTTGTCGTTCGAGCATGCTGACATGACCGGGTCCAGTAGGAGGTGAGGAGAATGCTGAAGCGGCGGCATTTGCGATAGCGGCGGAGATTATGCCCTGGTCAGACTTCGGGGCGGAGTCACCTAAACGTGCGTAAGCGAAGCCCGAACACTCGGTCAGACACACAACAGAAACATACCTGCTGGTCCCGGGGACGACAACAGGCCATCGCGCCGCGTAGGGGTCCGAGGCCAACTGATGGGAGAGTGAAGCGATAAGGAGTTCCTCCCCGTGCTACCACGCTGCGGCTGGCGGCCAAGGCGACCTCGTCCCGCACCGGACATGCCGCTGGAAATCGGAGACGCGGGGCTGCCCGTGCCATAGAAGGTACTCACATGGCTGCCTTCACCAGCAGTGGAAGGGGACTGAAAAGACGTCGCGAGGCCCATGCTGGAGAACTCTGGAGAGAGGGTGGAGTGGTGACTGCTGAGGTTGCCTGGTGTAGGAATTTTGCGCTTCTTCTTGTTGTTGGTGTTCTCAAACGCATCGTACCCATCGGGACCCGCCGAGGAGGACTTCACTAGGGGCCCTTCACTGTTGCTGGGCAGCGTCTGAGGAGGGGCACTGGAGGCGGCAGAGGGGGACAATGACGACCCGCGGAAACCAGCACTTCGACGCACAACTACGGGCCCATCCTCATCACCGCTCTCCAGCTCCACCCCATTCTCATACGTCAAATGGTCACGCTCAGGGCTCTGGTCGCGACCGTCGCTCTGCTGCACATACACTTTGGTGTCATTTACTATGTCTGCGCTGTCCACAGAGGTTCCGTAGAACAGCTGGGTGGCAGGAGGGGCCGGTGGGAAGAGGATCGAGTCGGCCGCTTCAGAGGATAGGCGAGAGCGGAGGGTACGCTTGGGCAGAGGGCGGATGAGCCTATCCGGGTAGACAGGGGACGGTGTATCTGGGGCCGAATTAAACATCCCATCTGCAGGTGAGCAGTATCAGCAACTGAGCAGCCAGCAGAACCCTGATTTCTAGATCCGCCCAGGAATTCGCGGATCCATCATCGGGGGACAACCCGTCAATTGTACGCACCAACAAGGCCAGACGCTACTTCCCCGGAGGAACAGACATCCTTGGTAAAAGACATACTCAGCGTAGCAGTCATGATGGCAGTTTCTCGGCTCTCTCTCTCGACCTCCACAACCACAGCCGAATGGCGGTTTGCCTCCTTGTAGCCCAACCCGGCAAGTTCCCCGGATGGTTCCCTTTGCTTTAATTTAGAGACAACTCTTCCCTCCAATTATTTTGGCTATGATTCCTCGATGGCCAACCTATCCCCAACGCGATACTCTATAGCCAGTTCCGTCTGGTCGGCGTGGATACGGAGGGAAGAGGAGGGGGTGTGGAGGAGCAATACGGAGATGACCCTTGACCGCACTGGATTGGCACCCACAAGTCAGTTGTCATGTTCCCGACGCTGGCACCCGGAACCACACAGAGTTTGGAGGGAGACCAGCCACGAGGGCATCCAAGGTCCCCGCCAGTCTCAACAGCCAGAGTTGAACTCGTAGGATCCCCGGGACAGAGCAAGGGACTTACGTAGGAGACCATGCACCGATATCGCCCACGCAGACTTTTTGACGACTCAACCCGAGGTGTCGGCAAGGAAGGACCGACAATCGAAACCAGTTCAACCCCGGACCACGCAAAAGAGGGACAGGGGGAAAGGGCAGAAACGGGTGTAAAGATAGACGGGCAGCGATAGCCGATCCCGGGGAATTAAACAAGTAAACTAGCAATCAGAAGAGGGGAAGGCAACAGGGGACGAGGATGGCGGAGGGGTGGGAATCGAATGGCTCGTGGATAATAATTAGATGAATAAGTCACTCCCCATAACTAATCCGCTTTCCTTTCTGGGCCGAGCGGATACCTACGGCTGCCTAAGGCTGCCATGTGGTGCCGCTAGTCCCGTTTAGGCCAGAGTGCGCCCCAAAGCCTCAACTATCTACTCCGGAGTCGAGTCACTGTCTCTCCTCCTCCGATCATGGTTCATAAACGACGCGGTGCGCGGGCAATCTCTTTCGGGGGAATACCGCGCATTTTCAGCTCGCCTCATACGATGCGGAATAGTTTTCCTCCCAAAATGTGTCTAGCCTGTCCTGCAGTGTCGCATCCTTTATTCCTTCCCTGCAAGGACCTGAGAACTCCTAACTAAGCTATGTATATTCTGGTCGGCGTGTCCAGGTACACTGCAAATGTTGACCATACGGAGGCTCCGACATGCCTTGCGTCCCTCGGTCCATTAGTCTATCCCATGCCTCTCTTAATATCCGCTTGTCGGTGCTACACGTGCTTTCGCCCGTGGCACTCACCATGTCCTCAGCCAGCACTTGTTCGAAGAGGCCATAATATACCCACATTTTCGTTCCACATGGCGAAAACTGCGTGAACCGATCCCATAACAGCTCATGGTGAGCTGTATCTTGACCCGCACACCCGAACACCCGGCGTAGTCTGGTAGGCTCTGTATGATCACGGAAGTAGTGGGGTGGAACAAAGAGATCGCTATCGCTGAGCTGGATCAACCAAAATCTTTCTTATAACCGACACGAAGATGAAGGATGATGTAGGAGCCATGGTGGACTCACGAGTCTGCCACAGTGTGGGTTAGTCAGCAAGGTCTCAAATTTCCGATCTTGTTCCAGTAATGTCCGTGGCGATGGGTACCAGCAGTCGCTTGGGCCATCGTCAGTCGAAATGGGGCAACGATTCAAATAGAATGAAAGATAGATGTATATCGAAACGGAAGACGATGATCCCGGGTTACTGGCCACAAAGCAACGCAGAGAGGTGAGCGGGGTTTGGAGGACAGTATTGGCATGAATGTCATCATCGCATTCCGCTCGGCTTTATCACCGATCGACATTATTGGCGGAGGAGAAAGGAGAGGACGGCTTCAGTAGAGTACACATTAGTGAGACACGGGTCACCCCATAAGTATCGTCAATAAGTCTTGCGGAAAGAGTGAAAGTCGATAAGAACAGCGCGCGCGCAGAGACAGAGAGGGGAGAAAGAGAGAGAAAATAGAGCGGGGAAACGGCCAATGCGCGTTGACCGCAAAGGCGCGCAGCTCAAAACCCGTTCCGGCGGCCGGCCGTCACTCACGCTCTCATTCTGGGTCCGTTTCCCTCTTTCTCGCTCCTCCTCTTCCTTTTTCTCCTCCCCACCAACCCTTTTCCTGCAATTTCACAGACTATGTAGTCCTCGGTCTTCGTTCAAGCTCGCAGGCGCAGTTCTTGGATGTCTTTTCCCCTTTGGTTCCAATTGGCATTCCTCTGTCCTTGACTTGCCGGCTTTTTTCCCTCTGCTGCATCTCTTGTCATCCTTAACCACTTGTCTGAGGCGTGGTCGACTCCCTCAGCTCTCCACCCGTGTGCGACAGCTCGCTCACGGGCAGGTTTCTTCTCCTTGACGTTGTCCACTCTCTTTCTGAACCGATATCCTATTTTTCCTCCCTCCTCTCCATACCTTACGACCGTTTTATTGTCAGAGTTCGGTCGCTCTGCCCTCTCCCCCCGCTAATAACCTCCCTCCATTATGACGCCTCGTCGTTCCTCTCGTGCACGCAACCAGCCCTCTCCAGCTATTCTTCAGCATACAAACTCCTCCAGCTCCTCCAATTCCATGGCTCGCGAAAGAAGCACCCGGTCGAATCATAAAATCTCCTCCCCTCAGCGTTCCTCCACCAATCGGTCCCAGTCGATCGACGATGCCGACACAGGCTCGAAAAGTGACTTTCGAGAAACACGCCAGCGACAGCGTGCTCGGGGGGAGGAGGATAATGATCACCATATGAGACTTGAGGATGGTGACGACGATGACGGGGAGGAAGAGGACGAAGAGGAAGAGATTACCCGGTGTCTCTGTGGACAACAGGAGTACCCGGGTCTGCCTCCTTCTCGACGTGACCTAAGTCGGCGCAATGGTTTGCGTGCTGGTATAAAAGATGAAGCATTCAATCTTACCGCAGACGCATCAGACTTGTTGCCAGACGAGATCGGGAGCATGTTCATCCAATGTGATTCGTGCAAAGTCTGGCAGCATGGTGGCTGTGTGGGGATCATGGACGAGGCTATGAGCCCCGATGAGTACTTTTGTGAAGAGTGTCGCAAGGACCTCCATAAAATCATCAGCGAAACAAATGGGTAAGCTGATCCTTTTCTTTCCTTTTCACTCTGTTCTTGCTGCCAGAGTTAAATTTTCAAGCTGGTCGCTTGTGTTGTCGTCTCTGGTTATTCGCTATTTCTCAGCGTGTGGCATTTTCGCTTACGATCTCGCAGATCATATTCGTCTCAGTACCTTCCTGTCGCTCCCCCCCCTTCTACTGCTCCCTCGTCGCGAGAATCGTCGCGGGAAACATCCAGACGCGCGAAGGAACCGAAACCCCGACACAATGATCCTACCAATCCTAAAAGACGGTCAACGATGAATAGCCGTGATGCCGCTTATGACGAAGAAGAACAGCTGCGGCGGGCCATCGAAGAGAGCAAGGAGGATAATAAACCAGCTGGTGATGATATTGCGGCCCGGAGGCCCAAGAGAAGTCGCAGCGACAGTGAAGCGTACGTTGGACATTGCTCGTTGGTCGCACTGGTGATCACACTAACACGACATTAGGCAAAAACAAGCGACTAAGCGACAGCGCACGAGCTCTCCCTCGCCGGGTGCCGTTTCGAAAAGCAACCCTGCTTCACAGCCTGTCTCGGAGGACGAGTCGAAGAAACCTGCCACCAATGGCGTTCGACGGCAGAGAGCTGCTTCACGCAGTCAGCGTGATAAGGAAACCAAAGAACCTGAAGAACCCGAAGCGGAGCAGCCAGAGGCTCCACCTCGTAGGAAAAGCCGTTCGGAGCGACAGAAGGGCGATGGTGAGTGATGCTGCTATCGTCAATATCGTATCATGAGGCTAACTGTCAAAGACGCCGAGTCCGACCATGAAGCAGGATCCCCAACCAAGCCTAATGCGAGCGAACCCGAACCGAAGCAGCCCAGTCCGGAGGAAACGCCTGCCCCTGCCCAAGAAGCTGCACCTTCGCGTCCGTCCACTCGCAAATCCGGCCGCCCGCCTGCACGCCGTGGCGGTCGCATCGGACGGAATCAATATACTCGCGATCGTGACACCAACGGCACCGATTCAACAACACGTTCGCCGCGGCGTGGACAGTCGCATGATCTGGGAGGGGATTCGCCGCGGATCGGTGTCAACGGGACACACATCAACAGCAGTGAATCGGGCAAGCCCAGCCGGCCCCGCTATGTGAACCAACGAACTACCATGAACGAGATGAAGCGACGGGTGACGGCGATTTTGGAGTTCATTTCACGCATGCAGGTGGAAATGGCTGTCGCAGGGGAGAGCACCACCCCGCCGGGTAATGATGACCGGCCGAACGGGATCACCCGACTTCTGAGCGAGAATCAACTCCTCTCCAGTGCTATCGAGAGCGCCGGCCTGGAAGGCGGTTCAATGGCGCAACCCGCTGCAGAGAAGGATTTCAAGGACCTTAGCAGCGTGGAGATGATGGATGTGTTGACTCGTCATCTCTTGAAGTGGCAGCAGGAGTATGGCAAGTTTGGGGAACGGTGACGGAGCTACAGGCAGATCCGTTTCTTCTTTGGCAACTGCTGGCTCGGAGTTTTTGCTATGCACGATACCCGGTTCGTCTCTTCTGAAAGTGTGGACATGTATATTATGGCTTCTGGAGCATCTTGAGGACAGTCGGCGTTACGAGTCTTATGGAAGTACCCTGCTCATCTAGTCGATTTGCTTGGTTGAGGCGTGAATTGGATATGTTTGATGTCGGTTGGAGTTCAGGCGTGCGTTATGCCATGTGCTGGCTGGTTACAGTCTGCTTAGCTGATCAACTAGATCACCTGTTATGGTTCTGCATATGGCTTCATTTCACATACGGTTAATGTTCATTGCTGTGGATAGTATAATACCATTCTGCTTATCCCTGAGAAAATATAACATAAGATACGACAAACTGATTATGGACATGACCACAGCCACACACCTAAATAAGTCCATTATCCATCATCAACTACGTACACACAACCCAACCCTACACCACACTCCCATTCTCACCCCCTCCCCCCATTATCCCAGAATAGTAATCACCCCTTAACAGACCTAATCGCCCTCCCCCCCTCAACATAATCAAACTCCCCCATCGTCCTCGAAAACGCCACATCCTGAGGTCCCGGACTACCCCCACCATCACGATACCCCCCAGGACAGAGAAAACTATGCGGGAAGCCCAAATCAAAGGGATACGCAGCATCGATATCCTTCACATCTTCCGCAGTAAGTTCCAAACTCAACGCCTGCACATTCTCCTCGAGCTGCTCGACCGTCCGTCCGCCGATAATGGGGAAAAGGTAGGGTGTTTTCTGCAACACGTAGGCAATAGCCACGCTCGTCACAGAAACCCCTTCGCCATGACGCTTCGCAACGGTATCCAACACCAACGAAACCTGCTCTTCGTAGCCGGTAAGTAGGTGGGAGACGTTTCGAACTCTCTTCGAAGCAGATTCCTTGTTGGGGGAGCGAATGTATCCTAGTATCCAGCACATATACGATTAGCAAACCCAATCAACCACATTCACCAAGATGAAACCAAAAGAAGAAGGAAGATACTAAGGAGACATACCATTCCCCAGCACCCCCCAAACACAAACCCCCATCCCCTCATCCCTACACAAGGGAATAACCTCCCTCTCCAAATCCCTACACGTAGCCCCATACCTACCCTGATAGACACTAAACCCGCGGAGCCCATGCACCCTCGCATACATATTCGCCTTGCTGACCACCCACGCCGGCGCATCACTAATCCCCAGGTAGAGTACCTTTCCCTGGACCACGAGATGGTTGAGCGACTGCATCAACTCCTCCACGTTCGTGGAGTAATCCCACGCGTGCACGTAGAACACATCGATGTAGGTGGTTTGCAGTCTGCGGAGGGAGTCGTCGATGGAGACGCGCATGGATTTGGTGCCGTTGCCGCCGAAGTTGCTTTGTTGGATTTGGGGAGTATGGTTGGGGGGAATAGGGGAGAGGGTGTATTTTGTTGCGATGACCATCTCCGAGCGACGGGTGGGAGACCGAGTCGCCATCCATTCGCCGATCCATTCCTCTGATTGCCCCGCTTGGTAGGCGTTCGCGGTGTCGATGAAGTTGCCGCCTAGGGAGTAGAATCTGTCGAGAAGGGAGAAGGCGGAGGATTTGGGGACCGCGCCGAGGCGGTCGCTCCAGGTTGTGCCTAGGGACATGCCGCCGAGTTGGAGGGGGGAGATGCGGATGGAGGAGGTGGGGGAGAGGTGGCGGTGGTGGGAGAGGGGGGATTTTTTGGTTGGTGATGGGGGAATGGTGGTGGTGGTGGTGGGTGAGGACATTGTTGTTGTATACTCTTAGTATAAGAGGTGGTGGATTTGAGTAGTAGGGTGGTGACTGTGAATGAGGATGGTGGAAATGTGAGTGATGAGGTATTGTATGAGGTGGCTCTTTCAGACCTTTTATAGTTTGAGGATATACGAATCTTGGTTATGTAGTATATTATATCAAAGGTTGGGATAGTAGTAGCTGCACTCGGTGATAACTGTCTCCGCGGATGTCCGGACTTAGGGTTTTGGAAGCCGCAGATACCATCCCTATCTCCATGGCTGAATACCTTCACACACCATCATCATGAAAATCTCCCCATTACATATTCCTCCGGACTTATCCCCAGAAACCGAGTATCTACTCCATACACCGTTATCATGAGATGTTCCATTCTATACAGCTACTCCGGACTTATTTCTCCAGAAACCGAGCATTCATAGCATAATATTTACCTACCGAACTACCTACTACAGAACTACCTTACCAGCACCACCCGGCAACTCCACCCGAAACAGCCCAAACGGCCTCTCCCTCTCCTGCCTCCACAGCTGATTCTCCGTGAAATACAAGTATCCCTTCTCCTCCGTCCCATTTCCTCCCAAAGTCACGACACTCATCGTATCCGTCCACCCCATCCTCGGATCCCTCACAAACGTCTCCACGCTGCCATTCCCGGGATACACCATATTAATCGCGTTCGACTCGAAGCTTCCCACATAAATCCGTCCGTCCGAGTCGGTCTCATACCCATCACTCACCCCCTTCTGGACGATCTTGGTCACGCTCTTTACAGCCTTTGCCCGTCCATCAGAAGAGTCATCCCGCAAGACAGCAGTAGGGACAGAGTAAATGTCCCGTCCACTGACAACCCCAAAGTAGAGCGTCTCGCCATCAGCGGAGAGCGCAATTCCATCTGTTCCAGTGGAGACATCGACAACGTCGCCCCAGATGAAGGCGCGGAAGTCGGGCTCTGCTTTCGTTATAGATAGCCCGTCCAGCTGCCGCCAGGCTTTGCCGGTACCGAGGTCAACAACGATCAGGCCGTTGCGGCCCTCTGGGCTGGAGTCGGTTAGGTAGGCGATGCCGTGGCCGGAGGTGTTGGGGAGGGTGGGGCGGAGGTCGAAGCGGACGTCGTTGGGGTACTATTATTCATTCAGAGGTTAGATACGTAGTGATAATCTGATAGGAAAGAAGGGGGCATACAGAGTCTGGGTAGACGGCATCCCTGGGAAATAGAATCGTCTTGAACACTTTATTCGTGGCCAGGTCAACTCCGACTAGTTTTGGACCACCATATGAAGATAGTAGGAGGGTGTTGTTTGCCGTGGTACCGCGGCCAGTGTCAAGGATCCAGAGACGGTCTTTGGCGTCGACCACTACGCTTTGGACGCTGATGAGATGGTCTGCGTAGTTGACCGTTGTCTAGGACAAATCAATATTAGACTGACATGTAGTATTACTGGTAGGGAGGAGACTAACTGCCGGAGAAGTAGAATAATTAACAGCCCCACCAGGAGGATAGTTAAACTCCGCAGAAGGATACGGCACTTCGGTCGTCGAGTCCGTCAGTTCAGCTACCTGGTAGCGGGTGTTGTTGGCGTCCAGGCCCAGAGGGTAGCAGGAGAACATGCGCCCCGTGGAGGATACAGCGACGCCGGTGGGAAACTGGTCATAGTATTGGTGGACTAGCTCCAGCGAGGGCCCGTATACTCCGGAGTCGTGGGCCAGGCCGTTGACATGGCTGGCTACGAGGAATGGTAGAAGCGGGAATATAGAGATATGCATTTTGAGTTGGATAACGGATTGATAAGATTCGGAGGTGAATTGTGGGCAATAAATACGCTGTTGCTTGAACGAGGGGTATAGTAGTATGACGACCTATTTACCCAGACAGGTTTAAGCTCCGCACGGGTGGTTGCAGACGCCATCGAAGGAGCAGCGAGCTAATTTAGATTAAGATTCTTCAAGGACAGGTCGTAGCCAGTAGGGTTTGTTGTTGGTGGTTGTGTCTTTTGACATATTAAAGCGGTTTATCCATGATATATTACCAACTAAAGGGTTTTCTAAACTAGTAGATACAATGACGTCGTACGCTCGGGATATATATCCATACATAAGTATCCGTGACCTACTATCTACTTTACACCCTACCTAGTACGAACACCTGCCCCTACACAAAATATACTACTAGCACAATACTAGTCATCCCCGTGAACCTGCTCGTATAAAAGTTTTCCAATAACCATTACAGGCACATTCATCTTGATAAGACATACAAGCTATGGTAGCCTCTTAAGGCGCGTAACCTACTAACAGCCGCCACACGATTTCCACAAGACACATGCTATTCTTAGACCGAGTCGAGCAGAGAATGATCACAGGAGGTTACTCATGTAACAAGTCGGCTGCATATTTCCATCCTAGCACTAAGCCAGAGTCAGTCAGTCAGTCATCCACCATCCATCATCGAGCACGACATTGCGAGATAAACGAACGACCTACGCCCAGTAAACAGACACTAAATCAGTACTACTTGGTTTGGTACCTGTCATCCTATGGACCAAGAGTGACGTCAAACTATGGTTGGTCGTACACTGACTGATAGTATCCAACGCAGGAATATATATATCAATCTACATATTTAACCCGACTGAAATGGTAGGGATAGCGGTTATTAGTTTAATAACATATTTTACGGAGTAATAAACATATTGCGCTTTGATTTGCAATTGCTACGTAATTGAGAGAGGGGACGTACAATATATAAGGCGTAGGAGGGTGCATAGAGTGACCGGGGTGTGATTTGGCATCATGGGTTTGAAGACAAATGGAATAAATCGGATCAGTGTCATCATGAAAGAGTGAAATGACATCTGCTGGTACAGTATCAGTGAGTTACTTTCTGTTCTGGAATGCGTGTGACAGAATCTAAGCTGCAGCGGAATGTGTCAACTACATTAAGCTTACTGAAATCATGTATACAAACAGCATAAGCTACATCCATTATCCTAAGTACAACAAGGCCATGCCAATACATCATTTTCAAGAGGCCATTCCATCATTGCATAATCCATCAGATACAAAAAGCTCGAGGTCAGGTCATGTCATAAGGATCGTCGAGAAAAGTTTCTCACCCAGTTGCCCGGCAACCTTATTCGGGAAGGTATCCCGTGGATCATACCCGGCGGAACAAACCAGCGGGTACAACACGGGAGCTAAACCGAATGGGGAAGGTGGATGTTGTGGGCTTACAGGCGGGAAGCGTGGACCACCTTGTAGTCGACGACCAGCTCGCGACCACCATCGTTGATGACCAGGGCGCGGACGCTGCCACGGCCATCCTCGAAGGCCTCGCGGATGCGGCGGAACAGGTGACCCTGGGGCACCACGGGCAGACCCTGCTTGACATCACCGGTCTCGGTCATGGCGACCAGGCGGCCGTCATCACGGAGGTCCAGGATGCGGTAGGTCTTGTAGACAGGGCCGAGCATGGTCTGGACCACGACGGAAGGAGAGGGGTTGGAGACGAAGCTGGACTCCTCCTGGAGTTCACGGGTGAACAAGTCGACACCCAGGTAGCGGTGCTGGCCGGTCTGGGGGGAGACCGAGATGCGGATCACCTGGCAGGGACGGCCCTGAAGGATCAGGATGTCGCCGATGCGGATGAAGTGGCAGGGGATCGGCACGGTCTCGGCGGTCGAGGAGCTGCCACCGGCACGGGGCTCAACGATACGGACATCCTCGCGGACGCCTTCACGGAAACGAACTGGACCGCCTTCGTCAGCGACGACTACGTCCTGGCGGTCGTGGTGACCGTGAGGGTGCATGATGCGGTCGGCAGCGCGCTCCACACCACGACGGAAGGAGTGATAGTTACCGTCGTCGTCGTAGTAACCCATCTTGCGAGAAGGAGGGGAATCAATGACAGTCTTGGTCTTGAGAACCTTCACAGAGTTCGAGCCGCTAGGAGACTCGGGAACCGGCTCAACGTTCTGTTGACGGCGGCTGTAGGGGTCGCGGGGGTAGGAGTCGACAGGCTTAGACTGGTAAGCACGGTCGTACGAGACGTCAAACTCGGACTGCTTGAACTGGCGGTCGTACGAAACGTCCCTAGACTGCTGGCGAGGACCAGAGAAGGAATCTACCGAAGCTTGAGAGCGGCGGTCGTACGAAGAGGCAGGAACGTCGTAGGTAGGATTATTAACCCGACGACGATACTCGCGCTCAGTGATGTCAAGCTGGTTCTGGAGAGCCTGATCGTAGGTGGGTTGACGGTCTTGGAAACGGACCGACGGTTCACGATAACTATGGGTGCGTCAGAGAAGAGGAACTAATGCAATAGTCATGTATGAAGGGCGGGTGGAGGTCCAATGGGGTAATAGGTAGGTAGACAAACAGCAAGCACGCAAGCACACAAGCAGGCAAGGGGATGTGATGTATAGTAGGGTTGGGGTATGATTGAGGGGAACGTGTGATGATTGGGTGGAACAGGACTTAATACTTTTGATGGGAGGGTGGTATGTGGGAAGGGGAAGCTTAAGCTGGGACCACAAGTGGGTGGGAATGCAATGGATGGGGTGGGAAGAAATAGGAAAAAAGGGAAAGGAAAAGAGGAAAACAGGAAAGCAAGAGGAAGTAGAAGAGGAAATGAGAAGAGGGTTGGGGAAGAGAGGCTTGTTTGTTTTGGTGCCACGTAAGAAGGAAGTGGAGGACGCGACTAGTAGTGAAGCCACGGCCAGACACCGCTTCTTGTCGCTCTCCACTTAGGCTGGAGTGGATGTGGTGCCCCGTGCCAATCCTATGCCCCAGCCAGGCAGCCACCGGGAAAAAAAACAAAACAAAAACAGTAATGAAAAAAAAAGAAAACAAACCAAAAATAATAACCATGTAAATAAAGAAAAAGAAAAAGTGGGAAAAATCCAAAAAATAGTGGCTTACCGTTCACGCGCTAGGTCAACTTGGGGATACCGAGGAGCAGCAGAGGAAGCAGCAGCACCAACGGGGGGGATAG